GCTGTTGTCGCCCTGTTGATGACGTCAGCTACGCGGTTTAGTCGAGCGCGGTTTATTCGAGCGCGGTTTTGTGGTGGAACCCTAAAGAACATACACTAAATTCCAATTGTGCCCTTATCCTCTCCAAAACAACATATATTCTTGAGTAGGTTTATTCCCTTTGCCTTCCGCCAACATATTTCATTATAATGGTTTGCTTTTATCATCCCTCTTTAAAATTTAATTTCCATTGTTAATTTATCATTTGTTGCCATACTCCAAATTTCATTATACCACTCATTTCTTTGAATATCCCAATTTTGTCACCAATATTTAGCCATCACTAATCTAGCTGCTATTATCAAATTTACAATCATTTCCTTTTTGGTTTCATTTATATCCCGTTTTTGCACCAGCAACAGTAATGCAATTCTCGGTGACATGTCTAAATTTACATTCAAGAGTGCTCTAATTTCTCTAAACACCATATCCCATATTTTTTGTGCACTATCGCAATCCCACCACATATGTTTGTATGTTCCAACCTCTTTCTTGCACCTCCAACAAACATTTGCATATTTACCATCTATTTGATTTAATTTACGTGGTGTTAAATACCACCTCCATATCACTTTATATCCATTTTCCTTAACTCTAACTGACATATTCTTATATACTCTTCTATTTCAATTTCCAATCAGTATAATTTATTTCTCGTAAATCTGATTCCCAAATTAATTTTAAACCTTTTGCCTGCTCTTCTAATTCAATTAATATTCTATATATATTTCCCAATTCTTCCTTTCCCTATATATTCTTCATTCACAGGTTGTCTAGCAAATAAATAAATGCCGGGGCACACTGAATTAAATCAATCAATGCCCATTGCATTATTAAAAATAAATCAGCTATCAAAAGGCGCAAGCATCAACAGCAACAGCATCAAGTGTGTTGATCACAGCAAAATTTAAGAATCTGAATTATTAGAATTAATTACAGCTAGAAGGGACCTTGGAGGTCTTCTACACCAGCCCCATTCTCAAGCAGGAGTTCCTAAGGGACTGTCCAGTCTCTTCTTCAAAACCTCCAGTTGATAGACCACCCACAACTTCTGGAAACAAGCTGTTCCCACTGGTTCATTGTCTCCACTGTTAGGAAGTTTCTCCTTAATTCCAAGTTGCGTCTCTCCTTGATTTTGTATCCACCCATTGTTTCCTGTCCTGCCTTCAGGTGCTTTGGAAAATAAGTTGACTTCTTCCTCTTTAGGGGAACCCCTCAAATATTGGAATACTGCTATTATGCCCCCCCCCTAATCCTTCTTCCCTCTCTAGATTAGCCATACCCAAATCCTGTAACCCCTCTTCATTCAATTCGCCTAGATTACCTTCAAAATACGCGTCCGCTTCGCAGAGGGCGAAAATCTTTTAATACCTATTTCACCATCTGATGGTGATGAAGAGCCTCCTTGGGTAGAAGAAGTCTATCTGACCCGAAGCGGGGCCAGGGGAAGGATCTAGCTCCCCTGCCCTTTGGAGAGACCCCTAAAAAAACAAAAAACACCCAGCAATAGCGGGATCAGCCTTTGCTCTTTGCAGGACGCCACCCAGTCATTCCCCAACCTCTGGCTCTCGAGCGACGCTCGCTCCCCCTCCCCTGGAATCCGCCGAGGACGACAGACCTAAAAAAAAAAGAAAAAAGCCGCTTTACTTCCAAGATCAGGTTGAGCCGGAAATAGCTTTGCGGGCAGGTCTAAGAACCCAACTCTGTGGTTTTAACTCGTTCGTTCCGCCCTGTGGCTTGAAAGAGGGGAAACACTGGGCAGAGTTCAGCCTTACTGACTTCTTAGTGTGTTTAGAAGAATGGAATGGAATGATAGAGTAGAATAGAATGGTAGAATAGCACCATTCCAGACAAGTGACTGTCCAGTGTTTTCTTAAAAGCCTCCAATGATGAAGCACCCACAACTGCTGAAGGCAAGCCATTTCACAGCTTAGGTTAGGTTAATAGAATAGAATAGAATAGAATAGAATAGAATAGAATAGAATAGAATAGAATAGAATAGAATAGGACTACCAATAGGGAATAGGGAATAGAATAGAGCAGTGGTNTTGCCCCCAACAATCTGGGTCCTCAATTTACCCACCTCGGAAGGATGGAAGGCTGAGTCAACCTTGAGCCTGGTGAGATTTGAACTGCCATATTGCAGGCAGCTGGCAGTCAGCAGAAATAGCCTGCAGTACTGCACTCTTAACCACTGAGCCACCTTGGCTCATTATCCCATTTTACAATATTTTTGCCACTATTGTTGAGTAACAACTGCAGTTGTTAAATTAGTAACATGGTTGTTAAGTGAATCTGGCTTCCACATTGCCTTTGCTTGTTTAGAGAGTTGCAAAAAGGGGATCACGTGACCCAGGGACATTGCAACCATCATAAATATGAGTCAGTTGCCAAGCGTCAACTGTAAATATAAAAAATAGTCACAAGTCACTTTTTTCTGTTCTGTTGTAACGTCGAACTGTCACTAAACAAACTGTTGTTAAGTCAAGAACTAGCAATAGCACTTAGACTTATATACCGCTTTACAGTGCTTTACAGCCCTCTCTAAGCAGTTTAGAGTCAGCCTCTTCCCCCCAACAATCTGGGTCCTCATTTTACTCACCTCGGAAGGATGGAAGGCTGAGTCAACCTTGAGCCCAGTCAGATTTGAACTGCAGGCAGCCAGCAGGTAGCAGAAGTAACCTTCAGTACTGCACTGTAAACACTGTGCCACCGTGGCTCATATATATAAGATAAAGGTGCCCCTTGCACATATGTGCTAGTCGTTCCCAACTCTAGGGGGCGGTGCTCATCTCAGTTTCAAAGCCAAAGAGCCAGCGCTGTCCGGAGACGTCCCCGTGGTCATGTGGCCAGCATGACTAAATGCCAAAGGCACATGGAACACTGTTCCCTTCCCACCAAAGTTGGTTTCTATTTTTCTACTTGCATTTTTACGTGCTTTCGAACTGCTAGGTTGGCAGAGGCTGGGACAAGTAAGGAGAGCTCACTTCGTTACGCGACGCTAGGGATTCAAACCACCAAACTGCCAACCTTTCTGATTGACAAGCTCAGCGTCTTAGCCACTAAGCCACTACGTCCCTCCTCCTATATGTAGACTCCCTATAGATAGACCATTGTTTGTAGACATCAGGGCAGTTGTTTAGAGGAAAACAATGTGCTCTGAGGAAGCCTGAAGTTTTGCCTTAATATGGGTTTTTTTTCCCGGTGGAATGGGACAGGATGATTAGTTTGTTGGATCCACCATTGGAGGGTGTGTCTTTGGTGACAGTCAAAGTGCAACATATGAAAAGGTTTGTCGTCTCTCTTGGTGTTTGCAGAAATCCAGGGATTTCAGGGAAACTGGAGGGTCTCTGCAAATTGTCAAGCAGGGCCTGACCCAACCAGGCCTACAAAAGACGATGCTGTGGCAAGTCCTGCAGGAGGCCGACGACACCACAAACCGAGATAATTCAGGTGAGACAGTCTTCTTCTCCACCAAATACAGGTATTCCTCGACTTACAGTGGTTCATTGTCAGCATTCCAAGGAACGCATCTGCCAAAATCAGGAATTCCTCCAAGAACCTATTTATTGGATACATCATATCAGCACGGCCAGTGAAAACTCACTCAAAGTTCCCGTGGGTTTTTGCCTAATTAAAAGAACAAATGGTTCCCTCCCCAGATGTCACCGGTCACATTGTCCAATATAAGTGGCTGGCAGGCTGCTTGGTCCCTCCTCTTTTCCTCCAGCTGCCACCTGTTAGGATGACCTTGGCCCTTGGTCAGGCCTGGAAGACAGGCAGCACACAAAACTATGCCTTTTCTGGTCCACAGGAAGACCTTCCTCCACAGAACCGGTCCCTACTGCCCAAAAAGTTTGAGGCCGCTGCTTATGACCGTTGCACTGAGCTGGGGGGGTCATACGATCCCCTTTTGCAACCTTCTGACAAGCAAAGTCAACGGGAAAGCCAGAGGTTCACTTTTAACAGCCGTGTGACTCATTGAACAACTGCAGGGATTCACTTCCCCAATGTGGCCAGAAAAGTCACAAAACGGGGGCAGAATCCACTTAACAAATTTTTCACTTCACATAAATGTTGATCTCCATTGTGGTCATAGGTCGAGGACTTACCTGTACTGCTTGTTTGGGTTTATTCATTTTCTTAAGTTGTTTTTTTTTTTGCAAGAGTTGACAAGCAAGTTGAAACCACAACATCGCATTTGTCCTTTAGCACAGCGTCCCCCAAGCTTTGCAGACCAGTGGAAAGGTCGGGGGGGGGGGAATGGTCCTATGCGAGTAGTGGGTGCGCGTGCGCAGCTCCAATTGAACGAGCAATGCTTGCCACAATGGAGCTGTGCACTCACACTGTTTCCCCCATTCCAGTTCCTGTTTTGGCCCCCCTCTGTCCGGTAAAGAACACAGACACAGGCTTAGCTGTTTGCCATTCTTTATTCACAGCAATTATAATCCTGTTGGCTGAAAGCCCACACACAACTCACTTGCAAGACGTTGGCAGCAACCCAGACTTCCAACAGACACGAGAATACAAGGCAGACCAGACAAGGAGTTCTCCAGATTAGTACGAACAGTTGTTCCTGCAAAAGGACTCCTCCCAAAGTCTCTTCTTATATACTCTCTTGGGAGGGGCCAAGCCACAACCACCTGGGCTTGATTATCTCTTATGAGTCTGTCTCTGTAACAACTGCCTCCCGGTTCTCTGCCCTACGTTGCGTCAGGGACAAACTCCCTTTGATCTTCCCCACTGCTCCATGCTTCAGGCACCTCCTGGAGGCCAACCAGCCTGTCTGGTCCCTGCTCTGAGTCTGAACCCTGCCCAGGGTGCTCCACATCTTCCATAGCAGACTCATAGGGGTCCTCACTATCAGAGTCCATCGGCAGCTCCAACGGCTCCTGCTGGGCCACAACAGTTGCAAACAGGATGCCGCCCAGTACAGACCTCCCCCCCCCTCCCGCTTTAGCAACATGATTAACACGCCTCTTTGTTTCCCCAGGGAACGAAATGGGAAATGTCATCAAAGTTGAGATTTCTCAGGATGGAGAAACTGAAAGAGAAGATGCTTGCAGGATGGAGCCACAGACCAGCTACAGCCACGTGCCTGTAAAAGGCAAGAGGGTGGGAGGAAGATCTGAGCCACAAGGAGCATCGCCACAAGGAGGAGCAGAAAAGGGATGTCATGAGCTGGCAGACGTTCATCGGAAGAGATACCAGAGAACTCCCCTTCCACATTCCTTCCCTAGGGAGGGCACTTATGGTGTCCCGAAACCCCCCTCAAGCAAGCCACCCTCCCTAAAGAGACCCCGCACTAGTCCGGAGCACAGCGTGGTGTGGGACCACTTTCAGTTGGATTCGGAGGACCCCTGCTACGGCATTTGCAATCACTGCAACAGACGGATCAGCCGAGGCAAGAACTCAAAACGCTACTCAACGTCGGGGCTGCTGAAACATCTGCAGCGGCATCACGCCAACTTTGTCCCGGCGGTCATTACCGCGCCACGAACTGCGTTGCCGGCGAGCAGAAAGGCGAAGGGGCCTGTCGTGCCGCAGGGCTGGACGAAGAAGAAGTCAGCTGGTAAAAGGCAGGCCGGCCCAAAGCCTTTGGAAGTGACCCGTGCTGTGGATCCGATGGTGGCTTTGGACGACCAGCCTTTCCGCATGGTGGAGGATGCAGGTTTCCAGCACCTCCTGAAGTTGCTTGCCCCCAAATATAAAATCCCATCGGGTACCACCTTCAGCCGACAGATCATGCCCTCCCTGTATCAGGCCTGCAGGGAGGAGGCCTTGGGGATGCTTCAAACCCCAGGACCCCCTGCCAGTGTGAACGTGAGCTCCGATGAATGAATGAGAGCCGGTTTTCTTCCTTCCTTTGATATGCGGTTGCTCCTGTGAGCAGCTGTAGGGGGCCGGTGTTTGGTGGTGGTAGGCTAAACGATTTTAATTCATGATTTTAATTCATTGATTAAATCCATCACGCCCCCAAAATTGAAGTAATAGGCAAATGTGTCACCAAAATGTAGAAAAGCAATGGAAAATGTGAAATAAATTCCGCCTTGTATGTAAAGAAAAAAAGGTTACACTGTAAAAAATGAACCAATTGCAGTGTCAGGACACAAAGTATTATTAATAAAAGAGCCGTGATGGCACAGTGGCTAGAATGCAGCATTGCAGGCAAACTCTGCTCACTGCCAGGAGTTCGATCCTGTCTGGCTCAAGGTGGACTCAGCCTTCCGTCCTTTTAAGGTTGGTAAAATGAGGCCCCAGATTGTTAGGGGTGATATGCTGACTTTAAGCCCCTTAGAAAGGGTTGTAAAAGCACTGTGAAGCAGTATATAAGTCTAATTGCTATCGCTTATATGAATTAACCAATCAGTGGCGAACATAGAAGAAGCTTACAAATCCCTAATTTTCTCCTGCTGTTTAACTAACTTCACCATTCTAGGCAAACGGGTAACAA